CTCCAGCCCGCGCAGGTCCGACAGCCCCCTCACGCCGAGCCGGGCCAAGCCAGCACCAAATGCCTCGAGGTTTGCGTCCGCGAGCAGCTTCTTGACGGCTGGTGGGACCTGCAGCTGCGGCTCAGAACTATCAGCCACATCCCCAGCCGCCCCTTCGTCGTTCTTTCCGCCCTGCGCCTTGTCGCTCACCACCGGCTTGAGCCTTCTCAGAACCTTCTCGGAACTTTCCGGTAGGTCGGGCGGCCGGTGGCACACAAAGACGGCGCCGCTTCCGAACGCCGACGTCAAGTCGGAGCTGCGGTCGGAGGAGCAGATCGGCAAGATGCGTCGCGTGGCCGCCAAGAAGGCAGGCAAAGGTCATACGCGGACTCTCCAGCCTCTCAGCTCACCACCTCGCCTTCTCTGTTGCTCTCCAGGCCCAGGCCCATCCGTAGCAAGCCTGAGGTGTCTGAAACCACACTTATCTTGGGTCTTCAAGCCCACATTGGCTCGTGATGCCACGGAGAGGGCTCGAGATTGTCCCCGGTAGACCCCATCCGAGGCGATTGCGAGGGCATTACGGAGGTCATTATCGGCGCCAACGACCGCGATACGTCCCGTCCCGCAGCCCTCATGCACCAGAGTCATGGGTACAGTCATAATATGTAGGCCTTCTCTCCCACAGTTTTGAGCAATAGCCGCAAACAACGCTTTTTGGCACTTGCATCTCGTGTGAACACGCACACCGGCCATGCCGACGAAGCGGCTTCCCAGCTCGCCAGCTCGCCTTCTCTGTCGCTCTCCTGGCCCAGGCCCATCAGGATCAAGCCTGGGCTGTCCCAGACCGTCCTTACTTTGGGTGATGAAGCTCACTCTGGCTCATACCACGGCTCTTGCAGCCTCACACACGCCTGTTTCACCCACAGACACCGCCGGCACGCACTCCCAGTTCACACATGCTCAAGCACAGCCCCACCAAAGCACAGCCCTGCTCAGAATGGGCAAGGACCACCACTTGGCGACCCAGGTAGCCTCTGGCTCGCCACTGCACTCGGCTCCTCTGCAGCGGTCTCGGGCTCTCCCCACGACAGCACGCCGACGGCAGCTTTGACGTCCATCTGGTGAACCTGCTGTGGCCATAGCCGCCCCTCGCATGCAGCTCGCACCAGGGCTCGACACCGGGCCCTCTCATCCCGATCGTGGCGGCGTGTGTGAAGGATGCGCGGCCGAGCCGCTGGCTGGCGCCGCTTGAACGTCCGAGATGGCCGCAGCACAGGCCACGCGTCGCGCCGCCGGCCAAGCCCAGCCTCTCGGCGGACCCCGGCCGTGCCAGAGGCAGCCCAGGTGGCGCGTGGAGCCGCGGCTCGGCGCTGGGAGCGCGCACGGACAAATGTGAGACGCAGCGCGACCTAAGGAAAATTAGGCGCGGGCGCCGGGCAACGCAGTGGCAAGCAAACCTTTGATTTTGAAGCAAGGTCTGATATTTGGGTCTCGGATTTCAAGATTAGAGACCCCTGGAGAGCTAACGAAGTGGCAAAAACAGGCTCTTACTTATTTATTGGGTTTTCTTCGACACGGCGGGCAGGCGGGCCACCCTGCTCGGTGCGCACCCAAGACAAAGAGGTTCACCCACAGACAGAGATCGACAGTCGGACACAACGTTCGCCGAGTCCCCGGAAGGCTGGTGCGACGCACCGCCTTGTCCCTTCACACTACCGCCCCGCTCCTGGTGCCCACGCCTCGATCTTCTTCGGCAGCACCTGGTCCGACAGGTCCTCTCCATGGCCTAGGCAGCCGCGCTCGCCCTCGCCCCACGTGAAGACGGCGCCGTCGGCGGTGATGGCGAGGTTGTGCGCGAATCCCGCCGACACAGCGACGACGCGCTGGCCAGCCAACGCCTCGATCTTCTTCGGCAGCAGCTGCATCTGCTCGTCGCCGTGGCCCAGCTTGCCATCCTCTCCATCGCCCCAGCTCCAGACCCCGCCGTCGGCGGTGAGGGCGAGGCTGTGAGACATTGCAGCCGACACGGCGACGACGCGCTGGCCAGCCAAGGCCTCGACCTTCTTCGGCAGCAGCAGCTGCTCCTGCTGGTCGCCGTGGCCCAGCTGGCCCGCACCTCCATAGCCCCAGCTCCAGATGGCGCCGTCGGCAGTGAGGGCGAGGTTGTGGTCCTCTCTCGCCGACACAGCGAGGACGCGCTGGCCAGCCAAGGCCTCGACCTTCTTGGGCAGCAGCTGGTCCGGCTCGTCGCCGTGGCCCAGCCGGCCAAAGCCTCCACGGCCCCAGCTCCAGACGGCGCCGTCGGCGGTAAGGGCGAGGTTGTGGTTGCCTCCGGCCGACACAGCGATGACGCGCTGGTCAGCCAGAGCCTCGACCTTCTTGGGCAGCAGCTGCTCCTGCTGGTCGCCGTGGCCCAGCTGGCCATAGGCTCCCCAGCCCCAGCTCCAGACGGCTCCGTCGGCGGTGACGGCGAGGCTGTGGTTATCTCCAGCCGAGACAGCGACGACACGCTTCCCCACCAAAGCCTCGATCTTCTTCGGCTGCCACTGGGCCTGATCGTCGCCGTGGCCCAACTTGCCGTTGTATCCGCTGCCCCAGCTCCAGACACTGCCGCTGCCGGTGAGGGCGAGGCTGTGTGCCCATCCTACCGACACGCTCACAGCACGCTCGGCGCCCAGCGGGGAAGGGAGGCGGGTCGGCGTGTTGAGCTGCGTCACGCCCTCGCCGTGCCCGAGCAGTCCCGGCGTCCAGTTCTCGGCCTTTCCGCACGACGAGAGCCGCCCCTCGCCGTCGATGAAGAGGCTGTGGGAGCGGCCTGTCGACGCCCTCACTGGCGGGTTGGACTCGCGCAGCAAGGCAGCGAGACACAGCCACCGCACGGCGCAGCTCTCGCCCTCCGGCTGCGCCGGCGGCTCGTAGCCGGCCTCTTGCAGGCGCAAGCGGATGCCCTCCAGCGCAAGTGAGGCGTGGAAGAGCAGCGAGACGGCCGCGACGCGAGCGATGTCGGCGGGGTCGCAGCGAGAGAGGGCGCGTACGAGGAGGTCCGTGGGGAGGTCGAGGAGGCGTGCGGGCGGCGGCGTGCTCGGCGAGGGAGCGGTGGCGGCGGTGGAGGCAAGGCGGCGCGAGCGGCGCCGCGGGGTGGACATCCCGACAAAAGAATTTTTCGCCTCTCTCAGCAGCACACTGGCACGACAAGGGCGCGGACTGGCGCGGACTGGCACACACACAGGCTCAAAAGAATTTTCCCAGATTCTCCTCCAGGTCCCCCTCAAAGAGGAGGACCCGCCCCTCCCTCACCCAATCCTCCCACCCCGGGAATGGGACACCGCAAACAGAACCGCGCCCAGCGTCCCAGCAACGCAATCCCTCCCGCTTCCCCGCCTTGAACTCCGCCACGAGCGCCGCGACCACCTCGTCGCGCTCCTCGACCGAGAGCCGCCTAAACGCCGCCTCCGCGGCCGCCCCGCGCGCGCCGAAGCCCTCCGGCCTCGGAGCGATTCTAAGATCAGGTCTGCCACCTCCCCGCTGGAAACGAAAATCTAAGTCACAAATCTCGAATAAATCTCGAAGCACACTTGAATGCTCACTTGGCAGGTAACATATGCGCCACGCGCCCCAACCGCTCCTCTGGTCGCCGCCGGCCTCCGCGGCGGCGGCGATGTCCCAGCGCCACCCATCGGCCAGCCCTCAGATCGATCGATCGGCGCTCAAAGTCGGCTTCAGATCCGAGAACGCTGCTGGCGCCGCCGCCGATCCCAGCGGCGACGCCAGCAGCTTCCTCTGCTCTCCAATGCGCCGAGAAGCGACGCGGGGGTGCTCGGCCCGCCATGCACGACGAAGGCTCCGCCGGGCGCGCGTCGGCCGGTCCGGTGGCACCCTCTGCGCGCGGCACCTGCCGGCGCCCCGACGACAGCCGTCGCGCCACCGCTGATGGAGGGGCGGTCGGCGCCGCTGCCGCCGCGCTGCCGGTGGGAGGGGCACTGGTGGTGGCCTGGGCGGCCCTCCGCCGCCGCTCGGGGCGCCCGGGCAGCGGTGGCAGCCTGCCGCCGCACCACTTCGAAATGCCCGCTGACCACTTCGAAATGCCCGCTCCGGCGGCCCGCGATCGGCGCTATTCTTTTTTCTACAAGCAAAATTCGAGCCAATTGAGGAAACTGAAGCGGGCAGGCTGGAAGCACTGAGGGACGGCCGATTTTCGCCCAGTGGCAGGCCTGATCTTAGAATCGCTCCTCGATAAGAAGAAGTCGATGGGGTAAGCGCCCGGGTCAGAATCGCCGAGGTAGCGACGCAGCCGCGCCGCAATCGCATCGAGCTCCAGCCAGCGAGCGCTGCACCGCCCCCCCACCGCCCGCTTCGATGAGGCGGCACTCCATCACGACAGCCGCCTCGCGCGCCGACCAGCCCCGACGGCGAGCCTCCTCCTCCGCCTCCTCCGCCGAGCAGGGCCGCCCATCCTCGCCTAGCAACACCGTAGGAGAGCGAGGGGCCCCGCCCCCCGCCTCCGCCGCAGCGGCCGCCCCGCCCGCCGTCGACAACCCCGTGGTCACACTGGAAAAGGGACGGAGCGCCGGCGCCGTCCGAGACGAACTCGGGCGCATGCAGGCCGGCGGTCGCGCAAAGTGGGCACGTCCAGGATCATCAGCAGCGAGCGAGGGCGGGCCGCCCTCCTCCCCCTCCGCCGGCGCCGCGCCGCCGACGGAAACCTCCTCCGCCACTGGGTTGGGCCGCTCAGCAGCCAAACCCGCCGCGGTGTCGGGCACCGTATCGAGCCCCCCTCCGCGACCCCTGGCGCCACGGCCGCGCCGCCCTCGGCGGCGCCGCGGCGCCTTCCGCCCGCCCTCGACCTCCTCCTCCCCCCCCCGCGGCGGCGATCGTACCATCGCCGCCCTCCGGCAGCGCGGGCTCCAAGGGGTCCAAACTGGATCCCTTGGTCCCACCCCCGGCTCCACCTTCTGCGGCCTGCGCGTCGCAGGCACCGCCGTCCGCCTCTTGGGGGCGCGCGCGCCGCCGCGGCCCTCGCCGCCAGCCGCTGCCCCGCCGCCGCGCTCCTCGCCAGCAGAGCCACTCCCAGCTCCGCCGCGGCGGATGTCAGCCAAAGAGGCAAAGGAGTCCAAAGCCGCATCAGCTGCGCCGCGGCTCCTCAGCTCCGGCAGGCAGCGGCACAGAAGCCGCTGCACGACTCGGCTGAGGCCGAGCTCCTCGAGGCCGCCCATGGCGACCGCCTCGAGCAGCTCCGCGACGCTGCCAACATCCTGGGCGAGCACCGCGTGCCTGCGGCGGAGGAGGGGTCGATAGGTGATGCAAGCGGGCACTCTGCACTCTGGCGCGCGCTCGGAGGGTGGGGCACGCACTGGAGGTAGAGGGGCACGGGGACCGTGACTTTGAGCGTCATGCGCCACGTTCGGCCGGTCCCGGCCGGCGGCCGCTGAAGCAGCCTCCTCGCTAGTCCCGCTACCGCGACCTTCTGCGTCCCAAGCTCCGCCATCTGCGCCCGTGGCACTGGCGGCGCGTGTGTTGCCGCCGCCTCGGGTGGGAGTGAGGACGGCGCGGCCGCCGGTGCGGGTTGGGGTCGAGCATAGAAGCGGTCCTCCGGGATGGGCTTGGGTACGCGTGGCGGCGGCGGCCGTACCTCTGGCCGAAAGGGCGCCAGGTCTCCTGCCGTGAGAGAGGG